CTCCTGCAATGCCGTCTCCATGTGGTTAAAAACTGCTAAACATAATTCTGGTGTAATTGCTCTAGTTTCTTTCCGTATTTTTTGTTTTAATTCTTGCAAAGTCCTAGGCCGATTAACATAAACTGTCCTTTTAAGGTATCCCCACAAAAAAAAGTTCAATGGAGACCTAGCTGGCCAGTTTAGGTCTGCAAAGCGAGAGATGACGTTTTCCGGGAATAATTCTCGAACGACTTCCATCGATGATCGAGGTGTATGGGGCTGTATGTGCGGTAAGCCCGGCTTGTTGAAACCATGTTTCTTGATCAAAGCGATCAAATTCTTGTAGGTGACATACCAAAGACTCTCGAAGCATTGCACAAAGCGATCACTAGTTTCAGTCTGGGCTATGCTACGTTGGTTCTCAAAAAAGAACGGGCCAATAATTCCTGAAGCCGACATTGCACACCATACAGTTACTTTTGGGCGTTTCACATTTAAAGCTGACGATCTGTCTCTAAGCCTTTTCACCCTCGATTTCACTAATTTTTTACTAGGTGCGTCCTTCACACGCCTAGTATTTAAGTGAGCACATAACCTTCGTCTTGCAATTGTGTACAAGTCATTGTTTTTGAAATAAGCCTCAATAATGAACGTACGATGCGCACCACACCAACGCTCCATTTTTGCTAAATAATCCGCATCGATCCACTATCGAAGTACGCTATGCCGATCGCGCTAAGTTACACGGTTGTCAAGGTATTCGAGTTTAAAAGGGGAAATTTATTCCTGGTCACCTTGTATGAAGAGTTTCTTCGTTCCTGCTAGCACTTACTATTGAATCCCAAAAAACACGTTTTCTCATTCTTGTCGAATAAAAAGTTTTCCCACAAAAATCGGTGTACCCATTTTATGAGTCCATGTTTTAAATAACCCCCTGGAACAACTTGGAGCAATAAAACCAGACTTTACAATTATTTCGCAAACCAAGCGTAATTTAGTCTAATATGATTAGACTATAAGAATATTAGATACTAAGATAAGAAGTAAACCTTATCCACCAAGCATAGACAAGATCAATTAACGTAAGACTTGGTACTATTTTTTAACCACAAACTCAGTTTCCTTCGGACAGCTGCTACTGATACCATAATTAAAGATTAAGGAGACTTGGTATATGATGTTATTCAAAATGGCCTAAAGACCTCCCAATATCTGCATCAGATAATCCATAAAATCTATTTCTGTGCTGGTAGTGGGTGATGCTGCTATTTTAAATACTTTCTGAAAGAGAGTATTTGGGAAAAGCATATACTGCACTTAACTTCCTCATTAATATTTTTCCAGCTTTTTGAGAATTCTTTACCATTGTGAAATATATTCAAATTATTTGTAGGTGTCTTTTTTTTGAACAGAAGCTCAAAAATTACACCTTCCCATTATATTGCTTGCATATTAAGTATGCTGTAGATACGAGCATGTGGAACAATAGTGTAATTGTGTTGTCAATTGGAAACTAGCCACGTAAGAAACTTGAGCCATAGAAAAATCTGTTGTAAGTGATGAAACGTACAACACACTAACTTTTTCAAAATGATAAACAAAACTAATTTCTCAAATGCCTCTGCGGTGTCCCTTCCTGCTCCTTGGCGTTGTAATTTGCTATTTAGGTCAAGCCACTTCAAAATCTATAATAATAATAATAAATAGTGTTTATTACCCAACACATAAGGAAGCTATTTACAGGACAATCCTAAGGTGAATCAAACTAACAAAAACAGAATACACATAAAAAGGAAGTGATTTAATCTAAAGAAAAAAAAACAAACAAAAAAAAGAAGCTAAAAAACATATTTCACTCAGGTTCGAAACATATCATAAATTATCCAAGCAATTTCTAGCTACTCCCAGAATGCTGTTCAAACTGTCAGCATGTATATTACAATAATTTGATATCGAATAAAAGTTCCACACATTACAATATGGGTGCCTTCAAAAACAAATTTGTGCGAACCATGTCACAATAGAAGGTTCTAGCTGTGCGAGTTTGAATAGATGGAACATTGAAGTCTAGTTTAGCCACAATCCCATTAGCATCAACTTAATTGTGCAGTAGTTTATGCAAGAACATAATTGATGTACACGCCCTTCTCAGATCTAAAGAATGCATTTGAAACCTGGACAATAACAAACTTCCAGATATACAACGCTCAGTATAGGTACCGTCAACTTTGAAAGATAAAAATTTTAGAAACTTTCTCTGAACATGCTCAAGAGAATCAATGCATATTCCAATTTCGATCTAATATATGCAGAATCCAAAACCAACAGCGACTCTGGGCGGCTAAAGCGGCTTCTACAGTTTCTCACAATAAAACCGTACGCCCGCGAAGCTTCACTCACCTTTTGAGCCATGTTTAGTGAAAAACTAAGTTTATGGTCAAAAACTTCACCCAAATCCTCAATTTTGTTATGACGATTTATGTAAACATCCCCAATCGTATAATTAAATTTATAAGCTGAAGTTTTCCTGCAAAAGCTGACTACACTACACTTAGACGCATTAAGAAATAAATTATTCTCGTCACTCCAAGCCACTAAACAATCGATATCCCGCTGAGGTTCAATACAATCAGCCTCAGACTCAATAATCCTGAATAATTTTAAATCATCCGCAAAGGGGAGTTTATTACAACTTAAATAATGCATATCATCAATAAATAAGATAAACAATAAAGGACCAGGATTTGAACTCTGGTACGTCTTGAATCCATTAAAAGTAACATATTGCTTCCTCTCATAAAGTTAACTTTGAATGAGTACTAATGCTGATGAATGGAATCCATTATAAAAAAGTTTATTCAAAGGTATGCCATGGTCCACCCTATCGAACGCCTTAGCAAAATCCGTATATTTATACTACATCTAGTTGACCTTGCCGATCGGCACATTTAATAGCGAACTGAGTGAAGATTTTTAAATTAGTTACTGTGGATCTCTTAGCAAAA